AGCATTAATGTGTTGAAATATTTCAGAGGTAAGAATGAAAAAAAAAAACACTATTCCATCATCATGATTGGATAGGTGGTATTAATAAGAAATAAGACGATAACATCTATAAATACTGATTTAGAGCATCGAAAATTTTTCAAAATGAAATATCTATTTTTGTATAGTGTTGAATCTGTAAATCGGCTTATACTTCTGATTGTTACCATTTTGAATGAAAAGGAAAACTTTATTTAAGTGTATATATATATGTAAAATGAAAATACTCCCAAATAATAAAATATTTGATTAGTTAAATAAGTAGATGAAAAATATTGAACGAAAAAAAAAACCCAACGATGAAAACATTGATAAAAACGTTTAGGCTACAAGAAAAAAAATCTAGAAAATAGAACGCGGAATACAAAATAAACGATTAATAAATAAAATAAATTATTTTTGATTAAACAAAAATAACATCCCAATACTTGTTTTCTTGTTAATTTGCAAAGTCTTACTCACAAAAAAATAAATATTCTAAGTCCATGTTATCAATGGAACTATGCCTAAAAAAAAAGAGAGAAATGAAATAACAGATAATTCATAGGTTGGTTGACTTGATCAGAACATTATCGAAAATGTCACATGCTATTATTTTATGGCAAAACAAGAGTATTTTAGTAATCGGTTAGAAGAAAAAACATTTTTTCTGTCTCTTCCTCTGTATATGAAAAAAAAAGCCGCGCATTCATCCGATGATGATTGTTCGAAGTCATAATTAATAATGAAACAAAAAAAAAGATTCTTACCTTCACGGGATGTCATGCTAGGTAAATAGTTTTCTTTATCAAGAAAATAAATTGGATATTCGACAACAAAACCTTGAATGCCTTTCAATTTTTGTTGTGCCTTAAAAACAAAATAAAAACATTATTCAAAAATTCTATTAAATAAATACATTCGCATATATACTTTTATCGGATCAGTATCGTTCATTTTAGCCATACCATTGTATGCATTAATTTGAGCAAATGTTCTAGTACGATCAGTTGGCATTGTACCAAAAACTTCTTCATAAATGGATGTATTTTGTTTGGCTATATTTTGAAAATAAGAATAAAATTCATCGGATACTGGATCAGTTATATCAATATTTTTTGGATTCTCGAATTGAATACCTAATAGCATCCTAAAAAAACAAAAAAAAAAAAAAAAGTAAAATAGTTTTCTATGAAAATCATTGAAATTTTAAATATGAAACATACTTAAAAATTTTTTTACGCCAACTAGAACAAAATTTTCCTACACGAACTGGTTGTCTATTAAATCGACCATCTTCTTCTTCAAGATCATTTATTACAATACAAAATTCACTATCACGATTACCAATTAATGAACGATCATTTATATTTGCACTACCACATATAGCCATACGATCATCAATAATCATTAATTTTGAATGAACATATATTATTTCAGTTACCCAAAAAAAAAAACAACAAATATCTAAATTTTATCATTAATAAAATATTTTACTTACTAGACGACCCATTAGAATAGCATGATTACGCATACCAAAAACATTAATATAATTTTTTGGTGGAATACCTAAATATCAAAAATCAAGTTATATGAGAAATCTGTAGTGACGATAGAAAATAAAAGTTCGGGCATCATTGCCATGTCTCGATAGACTACAAAAATAAATTCTCATTACAATGATGATATTCGAAAAAACTGTTTCACTTTTCACCATAACGTTTTGAATCGTTCTCTTCAAAGAGGAATCGTAGTTGCCGTGATAAGTACGTCTGCATTGGGCATTTCATTTATTCATGGATAGTGGACAGTCGAATTCGAGTATCATGTTTATAAGGCCTTCCTCGCCTGAATAATCGATCTCAATCCAGGGATGTTCAAATGACATGAAATTTTCAGGATATGTTAGGGCTTTTGTGGAAAAGCTATAGTGAAATTTTCAGCCCAATATCATGACGTTTGAGGGAGATATTAATCGAACAAGGGGCAAAATAGCTTATTTGGCAACCTAAGTTTCTCATGAGGGAAGGTCTTCAACTGTTCAATCTTTTTTGAGTTCGAACTTTGTGCAAAAGATAGACCCCAGTGAGATATGAAAAACCCCAAAAGATTAAATGCCCTTAGGCCTTCTGT